ACTCTCAATGGTGCTACGATAGTATGACAGAAGTAAATGCTGAGATAAATTTAACTTGCCGAGCATTCTCAGGAAATACAGCCTCTTCTGTGCCTTCTTCATTAGCATGTTGGCATTTATAGTCCATGAGAGGTCCTCTGAGATGTAAGTACCCAGAAATTTAAAACTACCAACTCTTTCCACTTCCTCACCGTTTATGTACAGTGGTAAATGTACATTTCTCTTCCTCCTAAAATCAATTATGAGTTCTTTAGTTTTTTTGATGTTAAGAGTGAGATGATTTTCTTTACACCAAACTATCCCAGAGGAATTCTGAGAAAGATGGGTTATACCTTATACCTGAAGGTACCACGAATTTTGCTCAATATGTCTGGCCTCGGGCAAGTGCAATGAATCCTATCTCAACAACAGGACTTAGCCAAACTGTCCCCAGCTAAAGGCCAGATAAAACTCCGTTGGTTGCTGCAGAGAAGAGATACCCCAAAATTCCAAAATCTATTTCAAATCATGAATGGCAGACACTTACTTCTCCACGGACAGTCACTTCCACTAGGAAAAGCGGAAAAGCTTTTGCAAACTGCAGTCCCCTTTGTTCAGTGGAAGAGCTGAAAGGAGATGCGGCGGGATAGAACTTATGTAGGCAAAACGTCTCTATTTTTAAAATACTACAAGACTCCTTGTTATTGAAGATAAAGTCACTAGCTGTGACTATAATTTGTAAACCACCAGGGTTCAGATTAGCTGATTCAAGGCCAACCCGTGATTCAAGCCCCACTGTGATCAGTCAAATCTCTCCTAATAAGTGTGCAAGGGCTGAAAAAAGCCAGGACAAAAAACACACAATTCACACCGCAAGCAATTCAGCAGATGGCAGCTGCCCAATGGGCAAACCCTGCTCGTACCCTCCTCCAATGCAAGTTTTATAATTATAATTGGCTGTTACAACCTTGTGGGGGGTTTTTGGCTCTGGGGATCAATGAGCCCTAGCAAATGGGGGAGAGAAAGAAGAGGTGCTTTTGGATCTATTTGCACTGGGGCAGTGGGCGGGAGAGCACTTTGCACATGCTTAAAGGTATCTTTGTCCTTATTCTTGACATTCGCACAGTCGCTCATGAGTTCACTTTTGATGTGGTGGATCCTGGATGCTAACAGCCCCTTTGATGGTCATATGCACGCATGCAAGTATACACACACAAGTGTGTGTGTTTGTGTGTGTGTGTGTGAGAGAGAGGTGGGGGCAACAAATTATCCCTCCTCCCTACATACATGAATTTATGTCTACTAGTGTGGATGATTTTTTTTAAAAAAAGGAAGCCTTCTTAATGGGACATTTGCTTCCCCCATAGTAATTTGCTCTGCACTCTGTGCATGCTCGGGGTGCTTTTATCGTCCCCATCACCACCTCGGCCAAAGGCCCCGGCCATTGCAACCACCTCGCAGGGTGGTTGTGCAGAGACACGGGGGGGGGGAGGAAGGAGAGCCCTGGACCCTACCTTGAGCTGCAGGAAAGGGGAGACATCAAAGCACGCCGTAAATGAAAGAAGTAGCGAATACTGGAGGTTCTAGGGCGGCCCCCCTCCCG